CGGCCCAAACGTCTACCGGACTTTGAAAAAGGAAGACTATTGCGGTTATTTTCCGAAACGGCTGCAGAAAAGTGAGCTGCGATGCGTGCAAGGCCAGCCACATCTCGGAAAAACTGGTTTTTAGCCGGAATCCTCCGGTTTGCTGCGGAGCAGGCCAAGACCCACAGTCTTCCTTGTCAAAGCTTCTGGGCATCAGAAACCGGTTTCGCGGGAGACGATGTTTCCACGGATGGGGGTCGGAGGATGGCCTGTTTCTCCTCTCGACCGAATGTTGGTGTTTCTGTTGTGTATGATTTCACTCCTGTGGTTCTCTGCTGGGACGTGATGGTGTCGTGGAATGTGACCTTTAGCGTCAGCCCTGGATTTGAGCCTTGATGCGGTCCCTTGGTGGTGCTACCGTAGGCGGGTTCTTTAGCCTCTCAGAGCTTCGATTTCCCCATCTGTAAAAAGGGAAAAGGGACAGTACCTGATAGTGTTATATAACGTCGAGGAGAAGTATGTGGACTGTGTGTGAGTACTCTGAAAAGTGCCACATTAATTTTGGGAACTGCACACTAAACAGTAATTCAGCAGGCTTTTCTCTATCAACCATTCTGTTTATGCAAAGAGAGAAGAGAATTTGAGGGTGGAGGGCTGGCTTCTAAATGCCCCTTAAAAGTTCGTGCAAAGATACAGAGGGCCACTACATAATGATAAAAGGTAAAAAAAAAAAAAAAAAAAAGTTCGTGCATGACTCTCTCTCGCTCTGTCTCATTTACTTTCTAAATAAACTATAGGCTCCAATCTAAAAAAAGAAAGTTCGTGCATGTCTGTAGGCAATATCCTTGGGAGTACTTCCTCATTAGTTGAGAGTGACACAGGTCATGATGAATCCAGACATCTGCAGGAAGCTTGTGGTTTTTATTCTATGGAGCACCATTGATGTAATCGTCACAACACAGATCTGGAAACTGACTCATAGTTTTTTTCCTTTACACAATTTAACTGTAGATGGTACTCCAACTAAACAAATGCCAGAAGCATATATTATTTCATGGCTGGGTAGGTTTTAAAAGACCTAATGTAAGAGAAAACCTGAGAATCCTTGGATCTGTATACAATGGAGGGAAAGGAAGCAGGTTATGGGACTTAAGGGGCATTCATTCTCTCTCATCTCTTATTCCTTGCGCAGCGCCCTTCATGACCTCTCTGACTCAACCGCTGTGTTGGCGCCACTCAGGTCACCCTTAGACACAAGGCTTAGCATATTCCCTGCAGCGCATTCTTGCTGCCACCCCCCTAAGGATTAGGGGAATTTTCTCATTTTGTTTTCAATTTTGCAATAGTAGCTAAGCATCACGCTAGTATTCCACACCCTTCCGTCATGATGAATCATCTAGACCTAAATATCTGATATTGACCATGACAGAGACTATATTTGCTTGTCTAAGTTCATTCATTCATTCCATCATTAACTCACTTGCCTACCTTGGCCAGGTTCTGCGCCAGATACATACCCTTCCAAGGTAGTTTTGTTTTAAGAAAGTTTAGGTCATGACTTTTAACAAATACAGTAATCACGTGTCAAGATTTTGTCATTAATTAACAAGGGAATCCGAAAGGTGTTTCAGCCACTTCAGAGGAGAATCCGAAAGCCAGAGAAATATGTAAACCCATCAAATGAATTTGCTTCGATGTGAAACCGGCTTCTTTCAAGTGGAGGAGGAAATTCAGCTGAACCACCACTTGGCAGAATTTATTTAATTATAAAGAATCGGTTACATTACTATCTATTTTCTACAAGTTCATGCCTATCTCAGAGTTGTGAAATAGCCCAAAGACAATGAAAGCTGAAGACATCATGGACACGTTACTTTTCAGTCTATCAGTTTTTCCTTAGTGTTCTTAGAGCACAATGTTGATTAAATCCAATGTCGGCTTAAGGCAAGGAAAAGAAGTAGTGAGTGCTCTGCTGATAGCAAGAAGGAAGTTTAAAAATTTGGAGGAAAGCCCTTTTGTCCACGTGGAAAGTGGAGATGATACAGCTTGGGAAACAGGGAAGAAAGACTATACCATATATAAAAGCACAGAGCCATAAAACATCACAGCAAGGTTGGAGAACTGAAGCGAGTTCAGGAGAACTGGGGATACAGATGAGAAAGGGACAGAGATCTGGAAGAAAAGGACAGTGAAGACCAGTTTATGTTATGTCATGCTGAGGGACTGAGTTTTGGTTCTGAGGTCTGTGTCTATCTCAGAGTGATCTATGCCCTACTGATGTTATACAAGAAGCTTTTAAGTAGTACATGGATGAATTTATTTAAGTTTTATTTTATTTTGAGTTGAGGTCTCACTCTGTCACCCAGACTGGAGTGCAGGGGCACGATAATGGCCTCCAGCTCCTGGGTTCAAATGATCCTTCCCTTTGGCCTCTCGACTAGCTGGGACTATGGCACACACCACCATGCCCTGCTAATTTTTTTATTTTTTGTGGAGACAAGGTCTCACCATGTGGCCCAGTCTGGTCTCAAACTCCTGGGCTCAAGCAGACCTCCCACCTTGGCCTCCCAAGGTGCTGGGATTATAGGTGTGAGCCCCCGTACCTGGCCATGGGTGATATTTTTGTTCTAATTGTTATATATTCATTTAATACAGAAAAGAAAATGATATGCCAATCAAAATTGCCATTTCACTAGTAGTATTGATTAGCACAATGTCAAATCTACTTGAGTTAAAATGTGATTTTGTTGAAAGAGGTATATTTAAATACCCAAGAGTACAGGTGGTATGTGGGTATGTCAAAACCCCTGAAGCTGGTAAATATTTAAAGTTCGAGAAATCCTGCTTTAAGTAAGCGATGGAGAGGAATTAAAACATTTAAAGCAGGGCAGTGATTTCTCTTTTGGGTTTTCCGAAACTCTCTTGGGCAGCAGTGTCGGGAGAGGATAAGAAGTATTAATATACTATAGATGAGAAAGAAAGGACTCCACCAAGGGCCATGACATTGGGCATGGAAAGAAAGGGACACATTGAATAAATATTTGGGATTATTTTTTACCCATTAGTAGTCGTGTTGGGCTGCGTGTATCACTATGCTTTAGCACGCAGCTCTATGTAAGTGATACTAAGAAGCTAATTTAGATATATCTAACTCTCTTTTTATATCTCTTCCTCTGTGCCTTTCAGAGTGCTTGGAACACAGAATAATCCTTATTAATACCTGTGAATGAATAAATGGTTAAATGATTTAAAAAATCCCTATGCTTTAAAGAATGTTATTTATACTTTCAAATGTATTCTTCATGACTTGTTTGGCTTAGGAGGCGATAAAACAAGAATTTCTGGTGTGTGGAATATTATAAAAGTGCAACAGAGCAGGAAAAGTGGTATTAGGAGATTTAGCCCTGCTGTTAAATAAGTAGCATGAGAAGTGAAGATAAAAAATTATTCCCAAGACAATTGTGTAGCTATATGTCATCAGCAGGTTCTCTGTGGTGCGCTAGGATGAAATAAGGTAGAATTTTTTTTGAGACAGGATCTCGCTCTGTCACCCAAACTGCAGTGCCGTGGCACAATCCTAGCTCACTGTAACCTTGAACCCCTGGGTTCAAGTGATTCTCTTGCCTTGGCTTCCCAAGTAGCTGGGACTACAGGCACACACCATACACCCAGCTTATTTTTTTATGTTTATTTTTGTAGAGGTGAGGGCTCGCTTTGTTGCCTAGGCTGGTCTCGAACTCCTGGGCTCAAACGATCCTCCTGCCTCAGCCTGGCAAAGTGCTGGAATTACAGACCACCGTGACTGGCCAAAAGAAAGCAGAATTTAAATAACTGACCATTCTGAATTAGTGGACCTCTTCAGAAAATGCTTCGTATAGTCAGAGTTTAGAGCTGGATTTTTGAAGGAAGAGATGGATGTGTTCTAAGTGGGGGAAGTGAGAAGGTGCAAAAGGACTTTAACAGATAGTGTCAAGGCCTGGAACACACATTGCCTGAACACTGGGAGGAATGGTTAAGACTGAAAGGCTAGAGACACAAGAACTGCAGTTGCAAGAGCATCCTGCCCTCCGGATCTAGGGCAAAAACTCCTCAAGTTACGTATGACCTGGGAACCACCTGTTCCTTGAAACACATTATGAATATGTTACTTTAAAAGAAGCGTTCTGTGGCCAAATAAACTTGGCAAACACTGTGTTGAAGTTCCTCAGGTTTCTTTCCTGGGAGTCTCAAAGCCTTTAATACACTAAAATATGTTGGGACTTCACCGGTATGTAGTATTTCTCCATACTCACGAGGAGGGACTTCCCCCACAATGGAATTTATTTATAAAAAATTGTGTATTTATTCTGACATGTTTAAACTTCAGTCACCTTCAAAATCTTCTGCGTTGGATGCAACACACCTATTGAGATGCTTTTCCCACTGCTCTAAACAGTTTTTAAACTCATCCGTTTGGATGCCTTTTAGTGCTTCTGACGTTTTTGCTCTCACCTCTTCCACGCTGGCAAAATGTTTCCCTTTGAGGACTTTTTTTCATCTGGGGAAACAAGAGAAAAAGTCGCTCAGAGCAAGATGAGGTCAATAGGGAAGGTGGGCACGAGGGTCAGGCCGTGTTGGGTCAAAAACTGCTGAACACTCAGTTGGTGTGGGCAGGTATGCTTGTAACTTACTCATCATGAAATGGACCAATGTGTTGAAAATAAAAAAAAAATTCACTGAAGCTTTGATCAGCTGTCAGCTTTTTCCAAAGTTCCTTCTGGGAGTTCTGTGTTTTATAAACATGTATACATTTTTTACAGATTTGTATGCACTGAGGTGTGGGATTGAAGAGGTTCTACGGGGAGACTACGTGTATTTCCATCTTTTTTTCTTTTGGACTGGAATCTCACTCTGTCACCCAGGCTCATGGCCATCGCAGCCTTGACCTGCTGGGCTCAGGTGATCCTTCCTTCTCAGTCTTTCAAATAGCTGGACCACAGGCATGTGCCACCACACCCGGCTAATTTTTTGACTTATTGTAGAGACAAGGTCTCACCATGTTGCTCAGGCTGGTCTTGAACCCCTGAGTTTAGGCAATCCTCTCGCTTCCACCTCCCAAAGTGCTGAGATTACAGGTTTGAGCCACTGTGCCTGGTGTATTCCCATCTTTCAGGAGCTCGTCTTTGGCTCCTAGGTTGAATCAGAAGGTATAGGAATGGTCCAATCCAAAGAAAGGATGAAAGAGCATTGCAAAAAAAGTAGTTGGTATCTCAAAGCAGTCAGCACTTGGACAAGAAGGGTATATTATCATGTAGTAAAGTATCCTTGCAGTTAATTCTCAGGTAGATATTTTCGGACCTGATAGAAAAGGATAGTTGGCCGGGCTTGGTGGCTCATGCCTGTCATCCCAGCACTTTGGGAGGCAGAGGCGGGTGGATCGTTTCAGCCTGGGAGTTCAAGACCAGCGTGGGCAACATAGTGAGACCCTGTCTCTACAAAAAAATTAAAAAAACTAGCCAGGTGTGGTGATGCATGCCGTCGCCCCAGCTACTCAGAAAGCTGAGGCAGGAAGATCACGTGAGCCCAGGAGTTTGAGGCTGCAGTGAGCTATGATCACGCTACTGCACTCCAGCCTGGATGATAGAGTTAGATTCTGTCTCTAGAAAAAAAGAAGAAGAAAAGAAAAAGAAAAACAAGGATAGTTTATCAATGTTTTATGAGTGGAAGATATTCACATGAGCAACACATTCTCATGTATACTGGCCATCTCCTTCCTATTCAAGAACACTTAACTGAGCACAGCAAGAATAATACCAGGTATTATGATAGGAAAAGTCTTGGATCAGGTCTGACTTACTATTTGCAAGGCAAATCATTCAGAAACCCTGACACTTCAGTGATCACTGAAGACTCATTTCCACTGAAGATAGGGACTTCAACTGAGGTATGATGTCTAGTGGGCACAATACACTTGGTTGGGATTTTCAATGGGGTCATAACTATGTCAATCCACACAACAGGTTTTTAAATTTGTAACCATAACAAATGCATACAATTTATGAAGAAATTTATACAATAATATTTACCAACTAGCAATCAGTGTACTTTTAGCTTTTAAAAGGCATGCAGGTCATACCTGTGTTCCTCATCCTTGCCTACATGAGTCACACGAGGGAATGGGAGTTTCTCAAAAAATTAAACATATAATTACCATGCAATCCCACAATTCCACTGTCAGGTATATACCCCAAAGAACCCAAAGCAGGAACTGACGCAGATGCATGAACCGATGTTCATAGCAGCACTATTCACAATCGTCAAAAAGCATAAACAAGGCAAATGTCCATCAGCAGATAATAGCTAAACACAATGTCATATAGCCACACCATGGAATAATATCCAGTCATAAAAAGGAATGACATTCTGATCCGTACTACAATATGGATGAACCCAGAAAGCGTTATGCTAAGTGAATAAACAGCTACAAAGGGACAAATATTGTATAATTTATATGAGGTAGCTTGAGTGGCCAAATTCATAGATTCATAGAGATAAGAGAGTAAAACAGCGATTGCCAGAGGAGAAGGGGAAAAGGAAACGAGAAACTATTGTTTAATGGGTCCAGACTTTCTGTTTGGGAAGATGAGAGAGTTCTTGGAATGACTGGTGGTGATGGTTGCATACATTGTGAATGTACTTAATGTCGCTGACTTGTATACTCAAACATAGTTATAAGGCAAATTTTATGTTATATATAGTTGACCACAGTACACACAAATTGTCTGAGGAACCTTAAAAAGATACTGATGCCTGGGTCACAGTCCCCAGAGACTCTGATTTTAGTTAGTCTGGGGCGGGTTGGTTGTTACAGTTCTCCAGATGAGTCTGAAGTGAGCCAGGCTTGACAAGGAAGGCATCAGCTCCAGGGAAGTGGGCCCAGCCTTGACTGCACATTAGAATCATTTAGGGATTTAAAGAACATGCCAAGTCTGGGTCTTACGTCCACGATTCTTACTTAGTTGGCTTGGGGGTGCTGCCAGGTCATTGAGATTTCTTTTCTTGTTTGAGTTGGAGTCCCGCTCTGTCACCCAGGCTTGAGTGCAGTGGCACACTCACAGCCACCGCAGCCTAGACCTGCTGGGCTCCGGCGATCCTTCCGCCTCAGCCTTCCAAGTAGCTGGAACTACAGGCATGTGCCACCATGCCCAGCTATTTTTTTTTTTAACTGATTGTAGAGATGAGGTCTCGCCAAGTTGCCCGGGCTGGTCTCGAACCCGCAATCCACTTGTCTCTGTCTCCCAAAATGCGGGGATGACAGGCTAAGCCACTGAGCCTGGCTGAGACTTCTTTTAATTTCTCAGTTGATTCTAGTCTGTAGTCAAGATTTGGGACCGTGCTCTCAAGGGAACTCAGGAGCAAGTACTTAATGTATGTTGTTGGTGAAATCGGCACGTGGTGGGGGAGGACCTCTGGTCCATATTCTCGTGGTTCTTTCTTTTCCTCTTCATATCGATCTGTCTGTTTATTTATCTATCTGCAGAGAGAGGGAGAGAGGGAGGAGAGTGTCACAATATTCAAAATAAGAGAAGCAAAGGAGACCAGTAGAGGGCTCGGGAGGAAGGAAGTAAAGATCAATCTGTTAGGTTCACTCTTTTTTTTTTTTTTGAATCAGGATCTCACTCTGTTGCACAGGCCTGGGGGGCAGTGGCATAATCATGGCTCACCGCAGCCTCGACCTCCTGGGCTCGGGTGATCCTTCAGCCTCAGCCTCCTGAGTAGCCGGGGCTACAGGTGCGTGCCACCACACCTAGCTAATTTTTTTTTTTATTTTTGTGGAAATGAGGTCTTGCTATGTTGCCCAGGCTGGTCTTGAACTCTTAGGCTGAAACAATCCTTCCGCCTCGGCCTCCCAAGGTTCTGGAATTATAGGCCTGAACCACCATGCCTGGCCCTCTTAGGCTCGCTCTTAAAGGAAAAAGACAACTCCTACCAGCTTCTAATATGGGCACTGCTCCCCCACTATCCCACTCTTCCCGAACCCCATTTGAATTCCTCTCCTTGCCCAGCAAGGACTCAGAGCTGACCTGTCCAGCTAGAGTTCCAAAGAGTCAGAGTTGTTGAGAGTGTCCCAATCAAGGAACCATAGAGGAGGTGGATGAGAAATGAGCAGGTTTACCTTGAAAACCCTGATTGATCCTCACTGACTTCAGCTGGTCTCTTCTCTACCTTGGTATTTGTGTGTCTGTCCTTCAGAATGGTTGCTTGCTCAGCCAGCTTACTAGATTGCATTGCACGTCTACTGTACTGTTTGCAAAAGTCCCACTTTGGCCCTAGGTTCTTGGAATCAAGGCCAACTAGACGAGGGGTGGGCTGGGGATTTTGACATACAACTGTAAGGCAATGTGGGATCATGGTGACCCCTAGAAGATGAAATATATGGAGAGAGCTGATGAGGCCAGCTCTACTCTGGGCTTTGCGGGAAAGCAGTGGTTCATCATCTGTCTATCCCATTCCATCAAGGTAGAAGCCCATGATAAGGTTTTCAGCTGGTGACTCACTCAGTGGTAAAGAGGGCACATTTTGCTGCAGTGTACCCTGTGTCATGTGCCTCTCTTCCATATTTAGATCCCTGGGGAACCAAGCAGACATTGGAAAGAAGTTTCGGGATTCTGGGTCCTGGCTACTCATACAGACACAACTGAAAAGGGACGTAAAATAGAAAGCAGAGTCCATGTTTTCTAAGAGTCTATGACCTAACTGAGGAGATAAATTATACAAACACAAAAAGGTGACAATGCGACGGCACCATGGCTCATGTGTAGCCCCAGCACTTTGGGAGGCTGAGGTGGGAGGATTGCTTGAGCCCAGGAGATCAGCCCGGGTAACATAGCAAAACCTCATCTCTACAAAAAATTAAAAAATTAGCCGGCCGTGGTGGCACGTGCCTGTAGTCCCAGGTACTCAGGATGCTGAGGCTGAAGGATTGCCTGAGCCCAGGAGGTCGAGACTGCCGTGAACCATTGGGATTGTGGCATTACACTCCAGCCTGGGTACAGAGTGAGGCCCCAACTAAAAAAAAAAAAAAAAAAAAAAATGACAAAGCAAGGTTTTGGACTTTACAATTTCTGTATTGTTGGTGTGTGTAGTTCAATAGTTTTCCAGACACTTTTATCCAAGGGCCTAAGGATGGGTCAGGAAAAAAGGGAAACTTCTGGGACGAGACATGGTGGATACAGAGAGCTAGAAGACTCTGACCTACATATTATTCCTGCCTTGTAATGGTGAGATTTATTATTTTTTTAAAAAAGTGACAACTACGATCCTTCCTGGTGAAAGACTACATTGCCCTTGGCAGGTGTGCACACTCAGGTAGAAAGACAGTTAAACACTCTGTCCCTAGCCTCCAAGGATGACCTGTCCTAAGCCTTCTGGGGTTCCTGATACAGTTGAGTAGACCTGACAAAGCATTATTTGCCAATAATTGATTCAAAGCTCCCCATCACTGGGTTGTCCCTTCAGAGTGTAGGAGTTCCTTGGCGTAGTACCTGTGGACACGTTTGGTGGCTCAAGCAGGGGTGTGCCCTGAATGCTTTCTGAAGTTGTTTTAAATCCTGAGGCTCGGAGTGGTAAGGGACTTTGGAGAAGGGAGAAACTAAAGAAAGTTATGGCTGGCCGCGGTGGCTCAAGCCTGTAATCCCAGTACTTTGGGAGGCCGAAGTGAGAGGATTGCCTGAGTCCATGGGTTCGAGACCAGCCTGGAAAACTTGACAAGATCTTATCTCTACAATAAATCAAAAAATTAGTTGAATATCATAGCGCACACCTGTAGTTCCAGCTACTTGGAAGGCTGAGGTGGAAGGATTGCCTAAGCCCAGCAAGTCGAGGCTGTGGTGGCCGTGATCACGCCACTGCACTCCAGCCTGGGTGATGAAGTGAGACTCCAATTCAAAAAAAGAAAGAAAGTTTCAGTGGCTGAAGAAGTCCTAAGGAAAAATGAGACACTAACTTGTACCCTGAATGCTGGGCAGGGTTGGAAAAGTATTAGCTCCTTGAGACAGAGAACATATGATCAGACTAACCCGTGGACAGGTATTACAGATCAAAGATGCACTGGGGACAGCGATCACAGTGCCTGCAGCGTGGTGGAATACTTATGAAGCAAATAACATGAAAATAAGATTTATTTGTGTAGGAAAGAGGGGCGACATTTAAATAACTGGCAGTTGAAATTGTAACATATTATTTATATGTCCAACATTAGATGTTGAGAATAAACACAGCTATTTCAGAAGGATGGACACAGTATTAAATTCAAAAGCAAGATTTATTTGTTTGGGGAAAGGGAAGAGGAAGGTACACGTTTCGTTAATTCAACAGTTTGAATCATACCTAAGATATTTTTATGTTAGTAATATGCTAATTCTTATGTGATAATTATTAATTAAATTTGTTCTGCAAAGCCACATCAGTGACAGCTTTGCTTAGAAATGTTCTTGTGGGCTGGGCTCAGTGGCTCAGCCTGTAATCCCGCGCCTTTGGGAGGCTGAGGTGAGTGGATTGCGTGAGTCCACAGGTTCGAGACCAGCCTGGGCAGCGAGACCTCATCTCTACAATAAATCAAAAAATCAGCCAGGCATGGTAGCGCGTGCCTGTGATTCCAGCTACTTGGAAGACTGAGGCAGAAGGATCGCCGAGCCCAGCAGGTTGAGGCTGCAGTGGCCGGGAGCGGCCACTGCACTCCAGTCTGGGCGACACAGTGAGACACCAACTCAAAAAAAAAAAAAAAAGAAATGTTTTTGTGGAGGTTAGTTGAAATTATGAGTAAAAGGGCATTTATTTAGAATATCCTGTAATTCAAGCTTTTCACTAAGTGACTTAATGGATTTTATTTAATGAGGTCTTGCTACATATAAATCAGAGCTCTGAAGCTCTTGGAAAGTTTTTATGGTATCATAGTAAAGTAAGTAGTTGATGATTATTTAATGATAATGTGGCTAACTTGACACACACGCATGTTCAGTCATCTGTCTAACACTATCAGCCTGGGATGTCAGTCCTAAAGAACACCCCAGCCACCCTTGTCCAAGACTTTCAATGTCAAACCAGAGCCTTGTAGCCTGGAGAGAGTTTCTCTGTCTCTTCCTAGACCTCGACCACAGGCATTCTCAACATAAGTTTCTGGACCATCAGCATCAGCATCTTGGAGGGCTTTTTAAAAATGCAGATTCTCAGGCCCTGCCCCCCGGGTGATTCTGATCCACACTAGTGTTGGAGAATGGCCCCCCTACACTATAGCTTTAAAATATCTTGGGTCAGTAACTTCTCTTAGATCACTGTCAGCCACGTAGAGAAATACTTCCTGTTTTATGTCTAAATTTATCTTCCTAAAGCTTTGATGCGGGGAGAACACAATCTTCACAAGCGTAGTTACTGCGCTCACATTCGCTTATGGGTGACAGGCCAGGGTGGATCTCAGCAGAAGGGGAACCGAGCCTCAGAGGACAGAGACAGAGCTGGCAGTAGGCAGGGGCACAGAGAAACAGGCCCGATCTTAGCCGTTATTTCATAATTTGATCATGTACGTCCCTTTCCAAAATGAACAGCTTAGTCTGTTTTGGGACCTGGGCTTTTAAGACTTAACAGCTATTTTTAAAAAAAGTATTAACAGTGTGATTTATTTTAACACTGTATGCTGCATTAACATACAAAGAGTTTATATAATTTTTTTTTTGAGTTGGAGTCTCACTTGGTCGCCTAGACTGGAGTGCAGTGGCCGCTCCAGGCCACCGCAGCCTCGCCTGCTGGGCTCCGGCGATCCTTCCGCCTCAGCCTTTTGAGTAGCTGGAATTATAGGCATGCGCTACCACGCCTGGCTGATTTTTTTATTTATTGTAGAGATGAGGTCTCGCTGCCCAGGCAGGTCTTGAACCCGCGGGCTCAGGCAATCCACTCACCTTAGCCTCCCAAAGGTGTGGGATTACAGGCTGAGCCACTGAGCCCGGCTGAATTTATATAATGTTAAAGGTAACTCTTCTGGTATAAGAGAGCAGGCTGTGGTTCAAGGACCTGAGGCAGGTTTTCTCCAGCCCAGCAGCGAAGGGAACCCTTGGCTCGGCCTGTAATCCCTCGCCTTGGGAGACCGAGGTGAGTGGATTGCCTGAGGCTGCGGGTTCGAGACCCGCCTGGGCAGTGAGACCTCATCTCTACAATAAATAAAAAATCAGCTGGGCGTGGTAGCGCATGCCTGTAATTCCGGCTACTCGGAAGGCTGAGGCGGAAGGATCGCCGGAGCCCAGCAGGTCGAGGCTGCGGTGGCCGGGAGCGGCCACTGCACTCCAGTCTGGGGACAGAGTGAGACTCCAACTCAAAAAATAAATAAATAAGACTTAGCAGCGAGCCAAAGGGGTACAAGGGAGAGGCAGGCGATGGAGACGACAGGGGTCATGTACATTGGCCAATGTTCCAGAAATTGTCTGCAAAAAGCAAGATAGAATAGAGGAGGGCTCAGTGGTCCAGGGTTGACCAGGAAAAAATGGCCCCCGTGCCTGGCTGTGATGTAGGGCAGGGTCTTACTGCTCTCCACTCACCCCTGCCAACCCAGTGTTGGCTAAGAAATCAGAGATCAGGATGCCCCAGAGGTGAGGGCAGACAGGAGTGTGTAGGTGGCCCGAATGAGCTGCCGATGAGCACTGTCTGGGATCGGTTCCCGAGGGAGGAAGGACTGTGCAGTGGGTGGTGGCTGCTGTTTTGTCTGCCTGGAGTAGTACTCTGTGCTCAAAATTCGGCTTCTCACAGTGTGATCTAACGGTATCCCCTAGTTTCTTACCAATCTGCGTCTTTAACTTGGTGATTGGCCAGAGTGAGGCATGTTCCCCAAGGTCAACCGGTCCTGGGATTTCAGATCTTTTACCGGATGGAGGGTCTCAGGCTTGCTCAGGTGGTAATCTCAACAGGTGTGAGTCTGAGCTGTTTGGTGACCGTGTCCGCATAGGCTGTGTGGAAGAAGCCAGTCTGTGGTGACAGAGACAGACGAGTACATCGAGAGAAGTGGAAATGAGAGACAGAGAAGGGGTGGTGGCGTTCCAACATCTA